GTCATTGTTGTTTGGCGGGTCCGGGCTGGGGATTCGAACCCGCCACCTTAGGTGTACGTGGCTGGCGCCTTTCCACGTAGCATAATGTTTTTAAGGTTCCTCTATTGCTATACCATGTAGTAGTACTTTATTCTTTTTCTATGGCTGAATGATAGTCTATTATATACTGATTTTGTCAACCCATTCATCTGATGGTGGACATGGGCTGTTTCTACTTTTTTGGCTATCATGAATAATGATGCTATGAACATTTGTGTATAGTGACATGTATTCAGTTCCCTTAGTAATGTATTTAACATTAAGGTTGCTGGGTCAATGGTAACTTGGTATTTAAGCTTTTTTTTTTTTTTTGTAGAGAGAGCCTCACTTTATTGCCCTTGGGGTTGAGTGCTGTGGCATCACAACTCACAACAACCTCTGACTCTTGGGCTTAAGGGCCAAGGCTCTTGCCTCAGCCTCTCAAGTAGCTGGGACTACAGGCGCCTGCCACAATGCTCAGCTATTTTTTATGGTTGCAGTTCAGCTGGGTTTGAACCCGCCCCCCTCAGTATATGGGGCCGGCACCCTACTCACTAAGCCACGGGTGCTGCCCAGTATTTAAGCTTTTAAGGAGTTGTCAAACTGTTTACAAAGCAATTGTACCATTTTTACATTTCTATCAGCAAAGTATGAAGGACCTAATTTCTCCACATTATCACCAACACTTCCTATGTCTTTTTCATTTCATTTTAACCATCCTATGGGAAATGAGACATCATTGTGATTTTGATTTGCATTTTCCCTTATAACTAATGGTACTGAGCATCTTTTCCTGTGCTTATTGGCTATGTAGATAATTTCCTTTGGAGAAATGTCTATTTAGACACTTTGCCCATTTTAAAATCAGGTTGTCTTTATATTGTTTAGTTTATAAGGGTCTTTATATATTGTAGATACAAATCCCCTAGATATCTGAGTTACAAATATTTTTTCCCATTCTGTGGTTTATTTTTATACTTTGTTGATGGTGTCCTTTGAAGCACAAATTGTTTTTTATTTCGATGAAGTCCAATTTATCCATTTTTTTCTTTGGTTAAAAACTTATCCTTTATGTGTCATATCCAAGAAATTGTTAATGAATCCAGGATTATTAAAGTTTATACTTCTTTTTTCTTCTAATAGTTATAGAGCTTTGGCTCTTACATGTGTTAATTTGGTAAGAGGTAATGGGTCCAAATTCATTCTTTTGCATGTAGGTATCCAGTTGTCCCAGCATTTTTTTTTTTTCAGTTTTTTTTTGGCCAGGCCAGGTATGAACCCACCTCTGGTATATGGGGCTGACACCCTACTTCTTTGAGCCACAGGTGCTGCCTCCCAGCATTATTGGTGAAAGGACTATTATTTCCCCCATTGAATGATCTTGTCACTCTTGCCAAAAATCAATTTCTGGATTCAGCTTTATTTCATTGATCTGTATGTCTATCTTTATGCACATAACACATAGTTTTGATTACTGTAGCTTTGTAGTATGTTTAGAAATTAGACTGTGTGAGTACTCCAACTTTCCAAGATTGTTTTGGTTATTCTTTGTCCTTGAAATTCCAGGTGAATTTTAGGATCAACTTGTTAATTTCTCCAAATGATACATTGGAATTTTGATAGGGATGGTATTAAATGTGTATATCAATGTGCAAGTATCGCCATCATCACTACTTTTTTTTTCTTTTTTCTCCAGAGTGCCAAAATTATAGACAGGCATGAGCCATTGAGTCTGACCCAAATTTCATATTTATATATTTTCTTTTCTTACATCTAATAAAAATTATAAAGATTTGTCAGAATCATAATAACTTACACAGTTAAATATGCCAAAAGACTTTGGCTTAAAAGACTTAGCCTAGACCTGGATAAATTTAGAGCAGTGTTAAGTAATCATTATAGTACAAATCTAAACCATAATTGTACCACTAGTATGAAATTTCTGTAGTTTGTTTTATCATATTACCAGTTGAATCAAACTGATACATCTATAAGTTTAAGAGAGTGGCGCTCATTGACTCATAAGTGGATAAACAAACTATGGTATATGTATGCCACGGGATACTATTCAGCCATAAAGTAAAATGTTAATTGTATTCATCTTTTGTATTTACCTGGAAGGATCTGGAGAACATCCTAGGTAAAGTATCACAAGAAAAGCATGGCTCGGCACCTGTGGCTCAAGCGGCTAAGGTGCCAGCCACATACACCTAAGGTGGCAGGTTTGAATCCAGCCTGGGCCGCCAAACAACAATGACGGCTGCAACCAAAAAATAGCTGGGCGTTGTGGCGGGCGCCTGTGGTCCCAGCTACTTGGGAGGCTGAGGCAGGAGACTCGCTTGAGCCCAGGAGTTGGAGGTTGCTGTGAGCTGTGATGCCACAGCACTCTACCCAGGGGGATAGCTTGAGGCTCTGTCTCAAAAAAAAAAAAAAAAGAAGGGAAAAAAAAGCATCCAATGTACTCAATGCTTATGTGAAACTAGATGAATAGACTACATGCCCACACAAGAAAAAAGCACAATTAAATTCAAGTAGGGAGGAGGGGAGAAGGAAGGAGGGGGTTTGGTAAGCTCTTGCCTGATGGGCACAATGTAAGGGTATATGGCACACCTTCTGGGTGAAGGGCTAAACTACAACTTGGACCTCACCTAACAAACACAAACAATGTAATCTAATCATTTGTACCCATATATTAATCTGAAACAAAAAATTAAAATAAAGGAAATTACATTAAAAGTATAAAAAAAGAGTGTGGTAAAATTATAAGCTGATAGATTTGACCAGTCTTATCTTGGGAAGAGCTAAAGTAATCGTACTCTGTGTGTTGTGCTGTTATGCTGTCCAAAGTACTGTTAGAAATAGCAAGATTTCTTCTTTTTTGTTTTTTTAGAAATAGCAATATTTCATTTGTTCTTTACAGCATACACATGAGGAAGAATTGTTTGTTATAGTCTGCATCCCCCAGTTTCTAGATTGGGTAAACTGAAATGTAGCACAGCTGGGCCTCCAACCCTGGCCTTCTATCTTCCATTAAGTTCTTTTCATACACAGTCTTGAAATTTATCTTAGAATTTTAAACTTGTGTGTGGATACTATTAGATGGTGACTAGAATGTGTATCTTGCATGATTCCATGAATTGTTCTGAATACTAATTGTTTTGTGCCATTTGAATGCTTTCTTTTTTAGAGTAAATATGGCAGAGCTTTCTGAGCCAGAAGGACCAGTAGATTGGAAAGAAAGATGTGTAGCTCTGGAGTCCCAGCTCATGAAATTTAGAGTTCAAGCAAGCAAGATACGAGAGCTCTTAGCGGAGAAGGTATGACTTTCTCCCTAGCCTTTGTTATTGTTAGCTGTCTGTTTTATTTATATTAAATAATCTCAGTGCTTTGGAGGTTATGCATTTTTAAAATAATGAATATGATTTAACTTTTGTCAAGTGTTTGAAGATATAGTTGGTATATTCTTTTGCTGGAGTTAGGGTGGATTAGACATTAAAACAAGAAATATTTTCTGTGAATGTTAGTATAATATGTGAGAATTGTATAAGTTTAATGAATAGCATTCCAGAGAGAAAAGCTATCATTTATTTGATTTTATTAAAGGAGTGCGACAGCCTTTGATCTACTGAATGTTTAAGAAAATCATGTTAAAGTGATTCTAGAAGAAGTTTCTCTATTGATAGTAAAACATTTACTATATTTTGAAATATTCATCTATAGGAATTTGGGTTGATTGTATATTACTAAACTATCATCTGGGCTAGAATTAAGTTTAACATATACTTAAGAATTCTAATCATGTGATTAGAATATTGTATCACAGGAATGTTTTTGTAAGTATGTACATAAAAAAAATATATTTTTTGTTCATTCATTCAACAAATATTCTTTGAGGGCTAATTTCTATTAGACACTCTTAATACTGTAGTTACATATGCAAATAAGACAACCCATGTTTCTGTTTCCAGAGGACTTGGATTCTAAGCCTATGCTTTCCTGTATAGTAGGCATGAGCCATGTGTGGCTATTGAACACTTTGAATGAGATGTGTTGCATATGTAAAATAAACACTGGTTTCAAAGATTTAGTGTGAAAGAATGTAAAGTATCTCAGCAATAATGTTTGTGTTATGTGTTGAAGGGATGGTATTTGGATATTAGGTTAAATAGACAATATTAAAATTAACTTTACCTATTTCTTTTTACTTTTTTAATGTTTGCACTAAAAAATTTAAAAGTATACATGTGGCTCAGATTGTATTTCTATTGGACATCACTTTTTAGATGAACAGATGAATGATATTAATGGCATTCAGAACTGATCAGAAAAATTACGGGTAATTTCTTAAATCCCACTCTGCATACTCCTTTTGTGGGATAGAAACTGGTACATGTATCACATCTCCAAAAAAGTTCTTAAATCTTCTTCCCATTACTAGCCAAGAATCTCTTAGCACAGAAGTATTCTAATAAAATCCAGGGAAACATCGTTCAGTTTAAACTTTATCATCTTAAATTATTGTGCTTGAATGTCTTTTAGGCAGCAAGACTAAAGTTATCCTATTCACTTTGGATCAAGGATGACATAGTAATAGGGTTTGTGGAGTAAATCTCCAGTACCAGTATGCTTTATTTATTGACATTAGAATAAAAGTTACAGCTTAAAAAAAAAAATCACAGTTTGAATAAGTCTAAGATGGGGAAGTTTTTCCTGACTCATTCTTTGTCTCTTGTTCCTCTCTCTATAAAAATCATTTCTCCCTGTAAAAATCATGCGGTACTACGATTTATCTGGTGTTTTCCACAACCCCAACCACCACATCTAATGATTTTGTCAAGATCCACCAATTACACTCTTGTTGCCTAACCTCATGGACATTGCCAGTTGTTGTCTTAGCCTCTTAGCAGTTGACACTGTTGACCACAGCATCCTTCTCAAAATCTTGGTTTTTCTGACTCCTGTATGTTGTTGATTTCCTTATGGTCTAAATAGAAGTACACTTATTTGGGTTTCTAAATTTTATGCCAACATTTGTTCTGTTTATTAGAAAGCATATTGTTAGAAGTTTCTCTAAGAGTGCCCATTTTTTAAAGTTATGAAACTGTTGTTTTCTCTATAAGTAAAATTGCAAATATCTTTTTAATTATTAATTTTTTAAGCTATTAGATTTTTTTTTGGTCAGTAAATGAATATGGAGAGGAATATTTCAAAATTTCTGTTTCAGTTGTGGTTTCTTTTTCTTTTTTTGGTCTTTCTTTTCTTTTATTTTGTATATGTGGCTTAAATCTTTTGGCAGATCTAAGGGATGGAATTATTCAGATATGTTTTACATATTGGAAAGTAGATATGTTTGCCAAATTACACATGGTTTTCCAGTAAATATTAATATATTCAACACCAAAATAGAAATAAGGATTCTCAGGTTTAAAAAATTTTTGGTACATGACCATGTTTTAATGAAAATGCTTAAAATTTATTGACTTATCATGTTTTAAGCACTTTATAGATATGATTTATTTAATTCTTATAACAACTGGTGGAGTAATAAATTTTATTATCTCCATTTTATAGATTAGGCAACTGATACGGTGTGCCAGGAAATCTTCTAAGTGCTTTATATGCAGCTTTTTAATCCTTACAACAACCCTTTGAGATAGTTACTAACATTATCTATATTTACACAGGAAGGAACTCAGGTAGAAAAGTTATGTAACTTGCCTGAGTTCACACCAAAAAGTGGGTAATGGAGCTAAGATTTGAATGCAGGCATTCTGCCTTAAGACCTGAATGCTTCGCTATAAGCACCCTATATAGCCTTTCTAAAACTATCTAGCTGGCTTTTTTTTGCAGTTTTTGGCCGGGGGTGGGTTTGAATGTGCCACCTCCAATATATGGGGCCAGTGCCCCACTCTTTTGAGCCACAAGTGCCACCCTAAAACTATCTAGTTTTGTTATGACTTTCTTTGCTTTCTTTGATATATCTTCCTGCTCATCTATTCTGTCTTCTGTTCAGCCATGCAAGATGCAAATCCACTTCTTCTTGGGGGTAGATATCTGTGTGTATTCATTTATGTATGGATGTAGTAATAACAATTTACGTAATGTTACATATTTTTCAAAGCAAACTCTATTGCATTCCTGCTAGGTGCCAACTCGAATCAAATATTGCATTCCAGAAGCTAGTCTGGTCCCATCCACACCCTTTGGTTTTGTGTTAGGACCAATCTACCCCAAGGCTTCTTCCTATCTTCTCTCCAAATGGATTCCAGCCCAAGGCTGAAGATTCTGGAGAGAATACCAATTTGATTCATCTGTTCTCTGCCAGGATTGTGGCCAGCTTCTCTTTTCTGTGACACTTGTGGTTCTAAGTTATATATTATTGGTGCTGGGTATAAGCAGCTAACTCCAGATGCCAACTCTGATTCCTAAGTCTTACATTAGCTAGTTTAAACCCCACAGTAACCCTAATAAGGTAGTTATTATTATCACCAGTCTAAAGAATTAACATTAAAGCAGAGAGTAGTTGAGTAGTATGCCCAGCATCACACTTGTAACAAATAGCAGAGAGCTGCCAACCTTATCTTTTAGGTTTGTTGTGATGCGGCTAACGGAGAGTCTGGCCCCTAGAAGTAAGTCATTATTTTCCTATAACTTCCTCAGTGGACATGTTGGTTATGTGTACAAGGAGATGACTTGAATATAATTACATATTGATGGCAAATATGCTTCTGAATTTTTTTTTAAAAAAGTATGAGATATCTCAGGGCATTTTTATAATTAAAGATGGATCTCTAGTATACCCTATATTGTTTGGAAATGGAGTAGGATCTTTTAGAAAAACTATTTTTGCACCTATTTTTTTCATCACAATTTTCAAGTAACTTAGAATACTGAAGCTTGTGAAGAGAAAGGCCTTATTGAAGTCTTGGGCAAGTGCTGCTGTAAGTGGGAGAGGTCTTAGAGGAATTTAAGGAATGGTGTTGGAAATATCCCTAGCGTGCCAAATATAAACTCTTCAGGGAAGCCGAGATTTAAACAGTTTTTCTGCTTTACAGTATCACTAGTTAGTTTTCTGAGCCAGAGAGGGAAAAAGGAAAGTTTTTTTTGGCATTAAAAAAATTTTTTTTAAGTTGACAAATTATGATTGTATATGTTTATTGGGTACAATGTGATGTTATATTTACACAATGTGGAATGATTAAGTCAATCGAATTAACACATCTATCCATAGCCTCAAATACTTATCATTTTTTGTGGTAAATATATTTGAAATCTACTCTCTTAGTAATTTTGAAATATATAATAATATTGTTTTTACCTATTGTCACCCTGCTGTGCAATAGATTTCTTTTTTTTTTTGAGACAGAGCCTCAAGCTATCCCCCTGGGTAGAGTGCCATGACATCACAGCTCACAGCAACCTCCAACTCCTGGGCTCAAGCGAGTCTCCTTCCTCAGCCTCCCAAGTAGCTGGGACTACAGGCTCCCGCCACAACGCCCAGCCATGTTTTTGGTTGCAGCCGTCATAGTTGTTTGGCGGGCCGGGCTGGGGATTCGAAACCGGCCACCTTAGGTGTATGTGGCTGGCGCCTTAGCTGATTGAGCCACAGGTGCCGAGCCTGTGCAATAGATTTCAAAACTCATTCCTCCCATCTGTCTGAAACTCTGTCCCCTCTGACCAACAGTCTGTCATTTCCTTCCTCCCTGTCCCTCACACTCTGATAACCATCATTCTACTTCCTACTTCCTTTTTTTTGAGATAGAGTCTCACTGTCACCCCAGGTTGAGTGCTGTAGCATCATAGCTCACAGCAACCTCAAACTCTTGGGCTCAAGTGATCCTCTTGCCTCAGCCTCCCAAGTTACAGGGACTATAGGTGTGCGCTACAAGGCCTGGCTGGTTTTTTTATTTTTAGTACAGATGGGGTCTTGCTCTTGCTCAGGCTGGTCTCAAACTTCTGAGTTCAGGCAGTCTACCTGCCTCGGCCTCCCAGAGTGCTGGGATAACAGGCATGAGCCACTACACCTGGCCTACTTTCTACTTGTATGAATTTAGCTGTCCTAGTTTTCACATCTAAGTGAGATCATGGAGCATTTATCTTTCTCTGCCTTGCATATTTAAATGAGTATGATGTGCTCTGGTTAATCCATGTTGTCAGAAATAACAGCTTCTCTTCTTTTTTGGTCGGGGCTGGGTTTGAACCCGCCACCTCCAGTATATGGGGCCAGCATTCTACTCCTTTGAGCCACAGGCACTGCCCAGCTTCTCTTCTTTTTTAAGGATGAATAGTAATCCATTGTGAATCTATGCCACACTCT